ATAATTTGCTCGGGTGATGTCTGTTTATTTGTTAGTCTAGCCACGGTGTTAAATAAAAACCTTGGATTATTTTGGTTATTTTCTATTAGTTTGCGGAGATGCTCAGCCCTGGCTGCTTTTAGAGCTTTTTTATAACGAGACATACTGTCTTTCCACGCGATTCTAAAGACCTCTAAATTAGTTTGTTTCCATTTACGCTCTAGGTTACGAGTTTCTCTCTTGATAGCATGCGTAGCACTGTTGTACCATGGTGCTTTAGTTTTCTCTCTAACCTTTTTTGATCTAATTGGTGCAACAATATCTAATGTACTAGAGAAAATGGTGCTCAAACTGCTAGTCATTTCCTCTAGTTCATCTGTTTGTTTGGGTTCACTGAGCAGCTGAGATAGATCAGGTAAGCTATTTGAGAATCTATCTATAGTGGTTGGAAGGATTGTTCTGCCTGGTCTATAACGTGGCGCAACATGACAAATTTCAGCAGTGCGTATTATACAAGTTACCATGTGATGATCGGTGAGATCGTCACTTTGCGGTATAATATCTATATCGGTTGGATTGGTTCCGTATGATATAATTAAATCTAGTGTATGATTTAGACGATGAGTGGGACCACTGACATTCTGCTTGACCCCAAAGGAGTTTAATAAATCTGTAAACGCAGTCCCTAACGCATCGTTTGTGTTATCTACGTGTATGTTAAAATCTCCAACAATTATTGCTTTATCGGCATTGACCAATAGATCTGAGAGAAAGTCTGCAAACTCTTTTAGGAAATCAGCATATGGTCCTGGAGGTCTATATACAGTAGCCAAGGCTAGAGATAATAGGGATTTATTTCTTACATCTAAGAGCGCAACGTTTAGCACCAGTACTTCAAACGAATTAAACCTGTGACCTGTTTTCTGAGTTACATTAAGAATATCTCTATAGATTGTTGCAACACCGCCGCCACGACCGATCAGACGGGGCTCATGCTTATAACAGTATCCTGGCGGGGTAGACTCATTTAGACCGAAATACTCGTTAAGGAGGAAATACTCAGCAATGCTGACGACTTATGAACTTACACATGGGTTAAGCGTATTAAAAACACCACATAGACATATAAAATACATTAAAAGCTTGATTTTTCACCACAGGGACACTTTAAATCATACTTATTGTAATTATTGTAAAAAATATATTGTTTGTGTTACTCTGCTATTGTTCATTTGGTTTTTTTTTTTTCTGTCAGCATAAATGAATGATCCTTCTAGTATATGCATCTCTCAGACAGCCGCTTTGTGTAACGAGCACATGAACGGCCTGGTCGTCTGTGTGCATTTAATCATATCGCAGTAAATCAGCAGATTTTTGTGTCGCACTGAAAACACAATTCAGGATGAGTCTGTCAGTGCGCCGAGCGTCTCAAAGACGGCCTGACAGCGAGAATACTTTTATAACAGTAGTTGCGTGACAGCGCTGTGTGTGGGGCTTGTTTGTTGTGCTATAATTATAATGTGTCAAATTGCTTAAACTTAAATGCATGACGTGAAAAATCACTTCATCGTGTAAATGTGTGAGAAACACTCAGCCGGTGAGTTTCTCCTAAAGCAGCTTTATATAAGACCATCATCAGAGGTCATGAGGTCAACTCCTCTCGTACACCAACACAGCACACTTGTGTCAAACCACCCTCCCTCGCTCGTGTTTTACATCACAATATTTCACTATATTACTGTTTTTGAAACATTCACATGGAAATGAATGTGTTTAGGGCTGTCGAGCGATTAAACCGTTTGATCTAAATTATGTGCCGATTAATTAATCTGATTAATCAGATTTGGCTGATAAATTACCCCTAAAAGATCATTTAAAGTCATCATTGTGTTAAATGAGAAAAGCATCAAATAGACATTACAAAAAGTAGCTTTAGAAAGAAATATTGCATTTGATTCAACATAGAATTTATTACACATAAAGTTTTAGGCTAAAAGGGACATGATTTTTGTTGTCTTTTTTTAGAAGCTGCATCTGGATTAGTATTTAGATATATTTACAATACAGACCAAAAGTTTTGTAAACAAAATTCTTTGAAATATTTTTTTTTTACTCGAAAGAAAGTCATACAGGTTTAATAAGACACGAGAGTCAGTAAATGATGACACAATTTTCTTTTTTTTCTTCTTTTTTTATTTATTTTTTTATTTGGCAAAACCTCACACATGATACAAAACCCAACGTGTAAAAGACATAAAACGTACAGTATACAATGATTATTTGATATTATAATATATATATAAAGAGTATGTATCACACTGTCAGGTTGCTGTAGGCTGCTGAAGACGAGGACACGGAATCTGCGATATAGGTATTTATTTACAAACTTAACTTCTATAAACATACAAGAACAAAGGAAAAGGAACTCCAGGACTTCAAAAAACACACAACCGTACATGGACGACGACCAACAAACACTGAGGGAAAACACAGGGCTTAAATGAACAGGGACTAATGGGATGATTAACAGAACACAGGTGAAGGGAATTACTAATCAGACATAGCGGGAAAACTAACAGGACTGAACCAAAAATCACAAAAGCAATGAAACAAGATCTCAAAACAGAACTAAACACATTGAAACCGTGACACACACATTCAACATGAAACAAATAAGAACAGTAATTGACAAGACAATAAAATAAAAAAAGAGATTTTTTTGGGATAGATTACCATGAGGGTAAAGAAGGAAGGCTATGTGTGTGTGTGTGTGTGTGTGTGTGTGTGTGTGTGTGTGTGTTCGTGTGTGTGTGCTAGAATGGACATTACCATGCGTGTAAGTTTGTAAACTTACACAAACTCACAATTTTCATTTTTGGCCAAAATACCCCCAAAATATGATTTTTTTTTAAATAATTTTTTTATGAAGTGAAACTTATGGCGGTAGATGTCTAAATGAGTGAGTCATTGATTCATTTGATTTGTTCAAACAGCTGATTCATTCAGGAATTAAGTAAATGACTCTCTTTATAAGTGAGTCATTGAATCATTGGTTCACCCGATTGATTCGTTCAAATCACAGATTCATTCAGAAGCGACACAGACGCACAACAGTTCTGCTCTGGCTTTATAGGTAATATTTTCGTTGGCACGATTGAGCAAAAACAGACAATATTGTGTCTAAAATTTAACACAATATTAACTTATTTATTGAACTGTTGTATAAAATCAATATCCCGTTTGCACTCGTGCTATTCGGGATAAAAACAGCACTCGTGTGATATTGCGTAACTATGGCAAATGATATAAATATCATACAAAACCTCATACAGGGGCATTTTTGCCCTGATATCTTGAATTTTATGCTAATTCTAAATTTATTCTATAGGCTTCATCACACAGTGAGTTCATGTTCAATAATAAACTGTATGAAATGTAAGGTGAACTGCGTAGGTCTGCGTTAAATCAATATTTCTAATAGGCTAATAAGTCTCCCTGTGGTGAGAATCCAGCTTTTAATGTTGTTTATGTGTCTATGTGATGTTTAATACCCTTTAAGACACACCGGGCCCTATCTTGCACTCGGCGCAAATGACTTTGTACACTGACGCATGTATCATTCCTATTTTGCACCCACGCAAAGCGGGCTTTTCCCTCCACAGACGCACGCCGGTTAACTAAGAAATACACTTGCGCTCCCCGGGGCGGTTCAGCGCAAAGAGGAGGCGTGTTCCGGCGCAAACTTTCCCTCATGCTATTTTGCTGTTCTATGTAACAATTGCGCCACTGACCAGAAAAAAATAGTCTAAAGTCAGTGGTGCGTTGCGCGTTGTTCATTATGCTATTTTAAGGGCGCATGCTTGGCATAATCAATGTAGCGTGTGCACAACGCGCATACACTTTGATTCTCTCATCTAAGCAGCAGTTTTCATTTTTGCAAATCATACATTATTACGATAGATAGATAGATAGATAGATAGATAGATAGATAGATAGATAGATAGATAGATAGATAGATAGATAGATAGATAGATAGATAGATAGAAAGACAATTTATTATAAAAGCATGTAGCTTACACATTTACCCAAATTATCATACGCCTGTTTAACAGAAGTTAATTTGGGTGGGTTTCTCCATCCCCAACGTCACTTCTCTGTGTTTTACGGCCCTGACGAGAACGTTGCTCTCCTCGGCTATGAACCGCTCCTGCCGCGCGCCTGGCAAATCCGCCGTTATAATAGGAATCCGCTTTAGAACAAGCGCGCCTGCTCTTAAAGGGAATGTGAGATGACGCTCTGATTGGTTTATTTCACGTTACGCCCAAACCACACCTATGAATAATGAAGCTACTTCAGACCAACCCCTTTTAGATTTGCGCCAGGCGCAAGAGGCATTTATCCCGCCGGGAAAATAGCAACAGCGCCGGGATCCGCCCACAAAGTTACTTGCGCTTTACGCTTTGACACTTGCGTTTCAGATCGTTAAAATAGGGCCCAGTGTGTGTAAGTTCATAAGTCGACAGCATTGCTGAGTATTTCCTGCTTAAAACTGCAGTGAACCAAAGACAGTCTCAAAAACACGGTTTGAAATCGCTGGTGTTTCTGACGTCACAAACGACCTTGTAACCAATCAGATCAACGTGTGATCGTCAACCAGTGGATCTCTGAGCTGAGGGAGTGAGTAGAGGCGGGGCTCATTTGCATATTCATAGAACCGCGCATACTAAATGAGGCAAGGGTGTCGAGTTACATTCAAGATATTTTAAGGTATGAAAAACGTTTAAATATGTCATTTTGGTGATTAAAGATGAGTTTTAAGGAATACAATTATTGACTACAGGGGGACTTTAAAATCTGAGTGTATATGCATCTCTCAGACTGCCGTTCATATTCAAGCACAGCATTTATTGCATATTTTTGCTGATGTTCTTTGGTGTATTAATGCCACTCTAAATGAAACGTTTCCAAACAGAAGCATCTTTGAAACGTCCCGTTAAATCATCCGTTCTCTTCCAATCCAGGTTCTGTCTCTGGGCGCCGATGTTCTTCCGGAGTATAAACTCCAGGCTCCTCGGATCCACAAGTGGACGGTCCTGCACTACAGCCCGTTTAAAGCGGTGTGGGATTGGCTGATCCTGCTGTTGGTGATCTACACCGCCATCCTCACGCCGTACTCCGCAGCCTTCCTCCTGGACGAGGAGGAGGAGGTCTCCATGCAGAACTGTGGCTACTCCTGCAGTCCTCTCAACGTGGTGGACCTCATCGTGGACATCATGTTCATCATCGACATCATCATCAACTTCCGCACCACGTACGTCAACGCCAACGACGAGGTGGTCAGCCACCCGCTGCGCATCGCTGTGCATTACTTTAAAGGCTGGTTCCTCATCGACATGGTGGCCGCGATCCCCTTCGACCTGCTCATATACCGGACCGGGGAGGAGGTGAGTGCTGAGGTGAGGGGAATCATGGGACACTTTCTTCTCGCTCTTGTGCTTTTACTCTTGTGTACTCATTTCCAGGGTTTCCGCGGGGCATTAACAAGCGTTAAAGGGTTAGTTCACCCAAAAATGAAAATGATGTCATTAATGACTCTCCCTCGTGTCGCTCCAAGCCCGTCAGACCTCCGTTCATCTTCAGAACACAGTTTAAGATATTTTAGATTTAGTCCGAGAGCTTTCTGTCCCTCCATTGTAAATGTATGTACGGTTTACTGTCCTTGTCCAGAAAGGAAATAAAGACATCATCAAAGTAGTCCATGTGACATCAGTGGGTTAGTTAGTGTGTTGAAGCATCGAAAATACATTTTGGTCCAAAAATAACAAAAACTCCACCTTTATTCAGCATTGTATTGTCTTCCGGTTCTGTTGTGGATCTTGGAGCGACATGAGTGTGAGTCATTAATGACATCATTTTCATTTTTGGGTCAAATACTGAGTAGTATTTATTAACTACATGTACTTTCTATAGGGTTAGGGTTGTTGGATTAGGGTTTGGTTGAGGGTTAGTTGCATGTAATTATTCATAATTTACAGTTATTACTACTATGGTAAGTATATGTAACATATGTAACAAGGATATTGTAAAATAAAGTGTTATCAACACACATTTGTCTCTTCAGTGAACACCAATAACAAATAATCAATAAGTGGTAAAAAAAAACATAAATCTGTGTCAGCTTTTTGTTTTAATTTAATTGTCTTAATAGCATTAAAACATGCCTGGCCTTTGTTTCTAATGTTCCTTTAAATAAATAACATGTATGTGTGTGTGTGTGTATATATATATATATATATATATATATGAATCTGATGCATTGAATATAAAAATAATGAAAGGAAAGGATTACAAGACGTCAGGTGAAGATATCTGTGAAAAAAGTTTAAGTATTACAACGCATTTATAATAAAGATGTAGAAATGTGTTTTTTCTGTATCCTCTGGCTCCAGACGACCACCCTCATCACCCATAATGCAATAATATTTCACATTTTTACAGTATTTTTGATCACTGAGCAGAAGATTCTTCTTTCAAAAACATGAAAAACATGTTTCTAGTGTTCCTTTAAAACTCTACATCTTTATTAAGATGCTTAATTTATTAAAGCTAAAGTTGTAGAAATGCAAACGAGTGTTTTTTGTGTATCCTCTGGCTCCAGACGACCACCCTCATCACCCATAATGCAATAATATTTCACATTTTTACAGTATTTTTGATCACTGAGCAGAAGAGACTTCTTTAAAAAACATGAAAAACATGTTTCTAGTGTTCCTTTAAAACTCTACATCTTTATTAAGATGCTTAATTTATTAAAGCTAAAGTTGTAGAAATGCAAACGAGTGTTTTTTGTGTATCCTCTGGCTCCAGACGACCACCCTCATCACCCATAATGCAATAATATTTCACATTTTTACAGTATTTTTGATCACTGAGCAGAAGATTCTTCTTTCAAAAACATGAAAAACATGTTTCTAGTGTTCCTTTAAAACTCTACATCTTTTTTATGATGCTTAATTTATTAAAGTTAAATTTTTTTAATGAAAACGAGTGTTTTTTCTGTATCCTCTCTTCCAGATGATCACCCTCATCGCCCATAATGCAATAATATTTCACATTTTTACAGTATTTTTGATCACTGAGCAGAAGAGACTTCTTTCAAAAACATGTTTCTAGTGTTCCTTTAAAACTCTACATCTTTATTAAGATGCTTAATTTATTAAAGTTAAATTTTTAAATGAAAACGAGTGTTTTTTTTCTGTATCCTCTCTTCCAGACCGCCACCCTCGTCAGCCATAATGCAATAATATTTCAAATTTTTTTACAGTATTTTTGATCACTGAGCAGAAGAGACTTCTTTAAAAAACATGAAAAACATGTTTCTAGTGTTCCTTTAAAACTCTACATCTTTTTTATGATGCTTAATTTATTAAAGCTAAAATTTTCTAAATGCAAACGAGTGTTTTTCTGTATACTATCCTCTCTTCCAGACGACCACCCTCGTCGGCCATAATGCAATAATATTTCACATTTTTACAGTATTTTTTATCACTGAGCAGAAGAGACTTCTTTCAAAAACATGAAAAACATGTTTCTAGTGTTCCTTTAAAACTCTTCATCTTTATTATGATGCTTAATTTATTAAAGCTAAAGTTGTAGAAATGAAAACGAGTGTTTTTTGTGTGTCCTCTGGCTCCAGACGACCACCCTCATCGGCCTCCTGAAGACGGCGCGACTCCTACGGCTGGTGCGAGTGGCTCGTAAACTGGACCGCTACTCTGAGTACGGGGCGGCCGTGCTGTTCCTGCTCATGTGCACCTTCGCTCTGATCGCTCATTGGCTGGCCTGCATCTGGTACGCCATCGGGAACGTGGAGCAGAACCGCTCCATCGGCTGGCTTCACGCGCTCGGCGTTCATCTGGGCAAACAGCACAACATCAGCATCCCGAGGTCAGGGCCGAGCATCAAGGATAAATACGTGACCGCGTTATACTTCACCTTCAGCAGCTTGACCAGCGTGGGCTTCGGGAACGTGTCGCCGAACACCAACTCCGAGAAGATCTTCTCCATCTGCGTCATGCTCATAGGATGTGAGTTTCATTTAGTGATGCAGGATATATCGGCCGTCATATCGGTATCGGTATCGGCCGATATATGTTCAGTTTTAATGTTATCGTTATCAGCCCGATAAGAAAATACATTTTAAATTGTGACATTATTTTCATGGCAAATTATAAATTCCATATTTTATTTTTTTTGTTTTTTTGTGGTACATTACTGTTTTACATTACATAATTACATATAGGGATGCATGATATATCGGCCGTCATATCGGTATCGGTCTGATACATGTTCATTTTTAATGTTATCGTTATCGGCCCAATAAGAAAATTAGGCTGATATATTAAAGTTAATATATAATCTATTATTTCCTTCAGGTGAGACACTTCAAATGCGCACTGTTCAACATGATGGTTTTGAATTGCTTGAAATATGATTGAGGTCACTTCAAAATAAAAATACAGTTCAGTGCAAAATGTTCGGTCATATAACTACATAAAATTATAATGAGAATAATGGCTTTTAATTGTGAGACTTTTTTTTGTAATCAGGCTCTCAAAAATTATATATAAAAAATTGTATTTCAATTTATCTGCCAAAATATCGGTTATCGGCTTTCAAATATAAAAAAATATCGGTTATCGGTATCGGCCAAAATATTCTCCGGATCTCTGTTATGATCAGTGACAATAAACGTAGATATTGAGGACATGGTCATCATAATAGAGGTGTATTCAAGTCTTTGTGTGTATAAATTGCCATTTTAAATGTTTTGATTAACGTAATAGATCCTGAGAACACAAATCAAGCATAATAGACTCATTAAAGCAGGTCTAAGTTTTGACCTTCATCCTAAATATTCTCGCCGCTCTGATTAAACCTTCATTACAGATGTGCTTGTTTGTTCTGTAGGCTGTATCTCTAATAGAGCTCTTTTAGTGTGCACTATATGATCAAACCTCATCATGCTGATGAAACATCCTCCCTTTTTAATTTTCCGTTAACAAATCAACCTGATAGCTCATTTTTGAAGGTCTTGATCACAGCAATTAATGATAAATTGCCAATTTAATATCTCTGCCGCACATACATCAGACCACAGTGACCGTGAAGTAATTTCCGTTTTTATGGCCGGTTCCAGCACTTATCATCGGAGCTGCAGAATTACATTTTGTTAGAGGGCAAAAGGACAAAATCAACATGACTTCTTTGATCCGAGACAAGATTTTTCATTGAATTAATTAGCTTCTTCAAAGCTGAAGTCACCAGACTGTAGTGATCAGGCTCAATATTCACTGAACCACTACAAATGGACTCATTTGATCAATTATATTTATTTCTTCTGTGATTTTACTGTTTCTATTGGATTTGTTTCTTTCTTTAGTGTGTTAGAATAAATCTCAAGGAATCAGGTCCAGGTGTTATTCAACCCCATCATATTTTATTTTATTTTACTTATTAGATTTAATTTTACATCGTGACATTATTTCCATGACAAATTCTAATTTCCGTATTTTATGTCATTTTAATTCTTGGTATTTTTAAGTTTTTTTTTATTTCTCCTATTTTTAATGGTGGTTCTCATTGCAGCAATTTGATACTGTTTTGCATTACAACTAGGGATGCAAGATATATATCGGCCTATATATGGGCCACCATATCAGTATCGGCCGATATATGTTCATTTTTAATGTTATCGTTATCGGCCTGATAAGAAAATTTGGCCAATATATTTATTTACATATATAAATAATTTAATATACATTTAAAAAAATACAAATAAATGGAAAATACAGTTAATTGCAAAAATGTTCTTCATATATTGTAGGCTACATAAAATTATCATGAGAATAATGGCTTTTAATGGTTTTTATCGGCCGATATATCGGTTATCGGCTTTCAAATATAAAGAATTATCGGTTATCGTATCGGCCAAAATTTTCATATCAGTGCATTACACTGTTGCATTACAAATTATGTAATACAATGTTTTTACCTATTAAAATCAGCACAAAGTAAATAGAGTTCAAGCAATACCATTGAGATGTACAAATACTCCACAGAATAAATAATAAAACATTGTTAGTTTTATTTATTTATTTATTTATTGCATTTTATAGTAATGAGAATTGATATTTTATGTTAAAAATTAGCTTAATTATCATGAAAATAATGTCACAATGCACATAATCTTAGTAAAATGGATGTAAAGGTCAGATCTCCAGCGCACTATGATTCACAAAATCAGCAAAAACAGCAACAAAGAAGGAGCTAAATCTGTTTTCTTATTTCTTTCTTTTGTTGTAGTGGTGAAATATGACTCAGATGTGCTGTTTTGACAGGCTTTTTGAGATTACCATCATTCGATAATTCCTGAGAGTTAATTCAACAAAGAGAAGAGGAGGATATAGTGTATTCTGCGGCGTTTGAGCTTCAGTCGCTGCTTCTTTGTTGCTATTTTTGCTGCTTTTGTAGTGTGATTCACAGTGCTGCCCACCTGCAGTGAGTTCAGTCCGTGCTCACCGCGGTAACACAGCCGACAGGAGTGAGGATCGAGGTCAGGTGATGATGAACACACACAGAAATCTGTTAGGCTCGTTCTGAAGCACTTGAGATTTGTATACACTGAAAAATATATGGTGTTTTCAATCAGAAATTGCTTGTAAATTTAACGTCAAAAATCCGCGTCAGAAATTTTCGCGCGTTAAAAATAAATACGACCTCATGTTGTGTCAATCACGCCTCCGAAACATTCGTCCCTCATTAACAAATTCAGATCGGGTTCGATTTTCTGCGTTTTTCGCATCCGCATTTTTCGCAATTTTGACAATTCTGTAGCCTGGCTCCGCCCTCCTACGTACTTCCGCTCAATTTTCATTTTCCTTCAGTACTACCAGAGATTGTCTAATAAGAGGAGAACTCCCACTCTCAGTAAACTTCCGGCTCCTGAACTGGTTGCGGTTCCACTCCGGCTCCACATGGGGGCGCTCACAGGACGAGTGCAGAATGAATGGAGGTCTATGGAGATATACCCCTCAAAATACACTTTTCTCAGGATACAATTTTTTGTCTAGTAATTTGAATGTTGTATTCGAAACGAGAGGCAAAGAAATTACACATTGTTGGGTGTTAGATTCACTTATTTGCTTTAAAAAGGCTTTTAAAATGTCAATGACGTCATACACATCGTACGACCAGAGACCTGCTTTACGGCAATCCTTCAGTCACTTCGGTGCGTTCGCGCTCTGCACTTTCTGTTCTCTCGAGACAGCCGACACACGCGTGCTAGAAGAGTTTTTGTAAAACTAAAGTTCATTGAGAGGTCCCGCTTCGGATGCCATCAAGCGGTGTCTCTGGTCGTAATCAGTCCTTCCCTGACCAATCAGCGTTCATTAGCAGAATGCTGGCGTGTTATAGGCAACAACAACTCAACCTGTAAGAAATGGAAAGGACATAAGTACTCATTCATTCAACTTTCGACCTATAACCCATGTTGAACTTGCAAAACCTACAATCAAATCTGAGATTTCTCAACGGCAATCGGGTGAAAGAGACATTTAGCTGTCTGGCTCCATAGACTCCCATTCATTCTGCACTCGGGCGATTGCCCCCAGTGGAACTCTGGTGGAACTACAACCACAATTCGGTACAATCGGACTTAATAGGGAGTGGCCAGGCTCTCCGTAGACGGGCTTTGGTACTACGTCTGGGTTTGTGGTATATTCGTGAGCGAACAGAGGGAGTGGCTGAGAACGATGACGTTGATGTCGAGCGCTAGTTTGAGTCGTCATACGTCACGACCAAACGTTAGCGATGGGTCATGGCAGATCCAGAGTGGCTCTGGGCAGATCCAATAGTTTTAAACTTCAACAGAGTACCCGCCTACAAGGAAGTTAACGCTTGTCAATGGAGCGAGGCCAGACTCTCTGTACAAATGAGATGTACGAGAGTCTGGTAGGACCAGGCTAACCATTCAGAGCCACCGAATACGCAAAAACGCATAAGGAAATTTCGGACTCAGTGTGCAAGGACCTTTAATCACTAAGAAAAAGTGTAGGTGCTTCTTGTTTTAACCATGTGTTCCTGTTCCCGTTCAGCGCTCATGTACGCCAGTATCTTCGGGAACGTGTCGGCCATCATCCAGCGGCTGTACTCGGGAACGGCTCGGTATCACACACAGATGCTGCGGGTGCGAGAGTTCATCCGCTTCCATCAGATTCCCAACCCACTGCGCCAGAGACTGGAGGAGTACTTCCAACATGCCTGGTCCTACACCAACGGCATCGACATGAACGCCGTGAGTTTACCCGCTCCCTTACACTGACAGACCAACATGCACCACATTTAAAACAGGCCCTATTCAGTCTATTCACTCTTCAGTGTGTGATGTTTGAGCATGAACACGTTCTCCTCTATATGAGTGTCAGTGTTTCTGAACTCCTGAAACGCCTCCATTGTAGTCTTGAGTTTCTTCCGGGAACGAACACGTCACACGCAGAATAAAGGGGCGGGGCCTGGTTGAGTTAGTTAGTAGTGTGTTAAACTGGAGGTTATGGAAAGGGGCGGGGCATTCCCCAAACACACTCGAAGCGCTCGACCAATCACAACACACTGCTCCAGCCGACCAATCAGAGCACAGTGTGCTTTTCAGAAGGAGGGGCTTCATAGAGACAGGAAGTAAACAGAGCGTTACTGACAGACTGGGAAGAGAGGAGCCGCAACAATGGAGAATATGAGGAGAATAATCAACATTCAAGCAGGAAAACCTGTGGAAGCTTGTTTCCGCGGCAGAATAAAACATTTTTAAAAGATAATTGCGACTTTTTATCTCACAATTGCAAGTTTACATCTATCTATTCTGAAGTCAGAATTGCGTGTTATAAAGACACATTTGCGTGATATAAAGTCAGAATTGCAAGATATAAAGTCAGAATTACGTGATATAAACTTTATATCTCGTGCAATTATGACTTTATATCACGCAATTATGACTTTATAACTCGCAATTATGACTTTATATCTCGCAATTATGACTTTATATCTCGCAATTGTGACTTTATAACTCTTAATTGTGACTTAATATCTCGCAATTATGACTTTATATCTCGCAATTATGACTTTATATCTCGCAATTGTGACTTTATAACTCGTAATTGTGACTTTATATCTCGCAATTGTGACTTTATAACTCGTAATTGTGACTTTATATCTCGCAATTATGACTTTATATCACGCAATTATGACTTTATATCTCGCAATTATGACTTTATATCTCGCAATTATGACTATATCTCGCAATTATGACTTTATAACTCGCAATTATGACTTTATATCTCACAATTCTGACTTTATAACTCGCAATTATGACTTTATATCTCGCAATTATGACTTTATATCTCGCAATTATGACTTTATATCTCGCAATTATGACTTTATATCTCGCAATTGTGACTTTATAACTCGTAATTGTGACTTTATATCTCGCAATTATGACTTTATATCACGCAATTATGACTTTATATCTCGCAATTCTGACTTTATATCTCGCAATTATGACTTTATATCTCGCAATTGTGATGTTATATCTCGCAATTATGACTTTATATCTCGCAATTATGACTTTATATCTCGCAATTATGACTTTATATCTCGCAATTGTGACTTTATATCACGCAATTATGACTTTATATCACGCAATTATGACTTTATATCTCGCAATTCTGACTTTATAACTCGCAATTATGACTTTATATCTCACAATTATGACTTTATATCTCGCAATTATGACTTTATATCTCGCAATTATGACTTTATATCTCACAATTGTGACTTTATAACTCGTAATTGTGACTTTATATCTCGCAATTATGACTTTATATCACGCAATTATGACTTTATATCTCACAATTATGACTTTATATCTCGTAATTGTGACTTTATATCTCGCAATTATGACTTTATATCTCGCAATTATGACTATATCTCGCAATTATGACTTTATAACTCGCAATTCTGACTTTATATCTCGCAATTCTGACTTTATAACTCGTAATTGTGACTTTATAACTCGTAATTGTGACTTTATATCTCGCAATTATGACTTTATATCTCGCAATTATGACTTTATATCACGCAATTATGACTTTATAACTCGCAATTCTGACTTTATATCTCGCAATTCTGACTTTATAACTCGCAATTATGACTTTATATCTCACAATTATGACTTTATATCTCGCAATTATGACTTTATATCTCACAATTGTGACTTTATAACTCGTAATTGTGACTTTATATCTCGCAATTATGACTTTATATCACGCAATTATGACTTTATATCTCACAATTATGACTTTATATCTCGTAAATTGTGACTTTATATCTCGCAATTATGACTTTATATCTCGCAATTATGACTTTATATCTCGCAATTCTGACTTTATAACTCGCAATTCTGACTTTATATCTCGCAATTCTGACTTTATAACTCGCAATTATGACTTTATATCTCGCAATTATGACTTTATATCTCGCAATTATGACTTTATATCTCGCAATTGTGACTTTATAACTCGTAATTGTGACTTTATATCTCGCAATTATGACTTTATATCACGCAATTATGACTTTATATCTCGCAATTTTGACTTTATATCTCGCAATTATGACTTTTATATCTCGCAATTGTGATTTTATATCTCGCAATTATGACTTTATAACTCGCAATTCTGACTTTATATCTCGCAATTCTGACTTTATATCTCGCAATTCTGACTTTATATCTCGCAATTCGGACTTTATATCTCGCAATTATGACTTTATAACTCGCAATTATGACTTTATATCTCGCAATTGTGATTTTATATCTCGCAATTATGACTTTATATCTTGCAATTATGACTTTATAACTCGCAATTCTGACTTTATATCTCGCAATTATGACTTTATAACTCGCAATTCTGACTTTATATCTCGCAATTATGACTTTATAACTAGCAATTATGACTTTATATCTCGCAATTATGACTTTATATCTCGCAATTATGACTTTAAAACTCTCAATTATGAATTTATATCTCGCAATTGTGACTTTACAACTCGCAATTCTGACTTTATATCTCGCAATTCTGACTTTATAACTCGCAATTATGACTTTATATCTCGCAATTATGACTTTATAACTAGCGATTATGACTTTATAACTCGTAATTATGACTTTATATCTCTCGATTATGACTTTATATCTCGCAATTATGACTTTATATCTCGCAATTATGACTTTATAACTCGCAATTATGACTTTATATCTCGCAATTATGACTTTATATCTCGCAATTATGACTTTATAACTCGCAATTATGACTTTATATCTCGCAATTGTGACTTTATAACTCGCAATTATGACTTTATTTCTCGCAATTGTGACTTTATAACTCGTAATTGTGACTTTATATCTCGCAATTATGACTTTATCTCGCAATTATGACTTTATATCTCGTAATTGTGAGATAAGTCAGAATTGTGAGATAAAAAGGCGCAATTACCTTTTTTTTTTTTTTTATTCTGTGGCGGAAACAAGCTTCCATAAAAGCCTGTTCTAGTAGAGCACAAACACAACATCAATACTTTGAGAAAGGGCATAATAAAGTGTGAGTTGTGAGCTGGATTACATGAATATAGTACATTATCCATAATGAGTTAATTTAGCAGCTGTCCTCGCCAGCATGTCCTCTACTATTACCAGCCGAAAAACCCAGAGTTTAACGAGATTACGCACTCAAGTAAAGAAAACAAACGAGCGTCCACCTCGGCCTATGAGCTCTTCTCATTAAGAGCAGTGGAGCGTTCTGATTGGACAGTCAGAGTGGTGGTGATTGCTGTACTGCTGGGTAATATTTCCTTTTTTTAATTGATTTTGTTTCTTTACAAGCTACTAAAACTAAATCATTCAGCTCTGAGATGAATCGCAACATTAAAAACATTGATTTGAAGCCAAAAACATTCTTGAAAATCAACAAAAAGTAAGAATTTGTGTATATGAGACTGCAGATCCCATTAAGCTTTGAAAATGACATAATCAAGGTCAAGCTTGGGGTCTGTAATATTTTTTTTATTATAAATGCTGTTCTTTCTATTAAAGAATCCTGAAAAATAAATGATATCGCCATTTCCACAAAAATATTAACTGTTTTCAACACTGATAATAATCATACATGTTTTTTTGATCATTAGATCATCATATTAGAGTGATTTCTGAAGGATCATGTGACACTGAAGACTGGAGTAATGATGCTGAAAATAAATGACACTTTACTGTATATTCACATAGAAAACAGCTTTTTTAAATACTAATAATATTTCACAATATTACTGTTTTTATTGTGTTTTATTAAATGAATGCAGCCTTGATGAGCAGTTATACAGATATTTCAAATTGTAGACAAATCTATCTATCTGTCTGTCTGTCTGTCTGTCTGTCTGTCTGTCTGTCTGTCTGTCTGTCTGTCTATCTATCTGTCTGTCTGTTTTATTTTATTTATTTATTTTTTTGTTTATTTAACAGGGACAATACACTAAGCATTGTTACACATAGACAACCGATGCTGTGTACATAGAGCATATAGCATAAAGCTAGTTTGCGTCCCGCGTCCCTGGTTAGGCTTTTACATAAAATCAAAACATCCAAAAAACAAAACAAAAAAACAAACAAACAATCATCACAAGAAACAAAACAAATACAAATACACACATGTATACATGTGTGCACATGTTGTACCCAAACAAATCAACAATGACATATTGACATACCTAAACACATCAACTTCATAAAAATAACGTAACTAATCTAAAAAAAATAAAAATAACCTCAATGTTCACATCGCTGTATAGATTTCAGTAAGGGTGTCACGATTTCGATATTAAATCGAAATCGATCGAAATTAATTCAATGGTATCGAAATCGAAATAAAAAATGGTATCGTCGATACTGCCACGCCCCATGTCGCGTCCGTGATGGAAAGTTCGGATCGTTTTACAGACTCTATTGTTCAATCTCGTTCATCAAAATTAACTAAACTTTTTTTCTAGTCATTTCAGGGGCTTTAAATGTTATACTATTAACATGCAAATTCCCCGAACATTAAGAAGATGTACATCATGAATGCAGTGAAAAATAATTTACACTACATGGACACTACACTACAATAATTACTTTACCTTCCGAGTCTTTTGTTCATTTGTCGCGTGACAGAGGCAATGAACAGATCGTTTATGATGAATGACTCATTCATGATGAACGACTCATCACGGTGCGGAAAACAAAACACCTGTTGAAAGGCTGCGAGTCCTCTAACTGACACAACATGGCAACTGCAGATATCGAAGACCCATCAACGGAACTTGAACACCCTCCTGCTTCTCTGAAGTCGCCGGTGTGGAGGTATTTTGGATTTGCAGTGCGGTATGTTGACAACGTTCGCGTTGTCGACAAAAAAGCCACAGTTTGCAAGCTCTGCTATGTGCGTGTACCATATTCGTCCACTGGCAAACACGACTAACATGGCTGCGCATCTCCGCAGACAGCACAAAAATATAGATTTGTCGGTCAAACCAACAACTGTACAAACTACTCTCCCGTCTTCATTTGGAATTAAATTTCCAAGTAACTCAACTCGTGCAAATGCAATTACAAGCGCCTTAGGAGTATTCATCGCTGCAGATATGCGACCTTATTCGGTGGTGGAAAACTCCGGATTTAGGCATTTAATTAGCGTGCTAGAACCGCGCTACGAAATCCCAAGTAGAACGCATTTCACAACTACGGTGATACCCTCATTGTACAACAATGTAAAGGAGAAAGTTATTGAAGGTCTGAGAAGTGCACATTTAGTGGCCTTGTCTACAGATTGCTGGACCTCCAGAGCAACACAGAGCTTCATGACTGTCACAGCACATTATATTAATGAACATAAATGTCATCGTCTGAGAAGACTGCAGTTACAAAAGCAAAGTAACCTGCCATTTAGTTTCTCTTAAGTTTCCAATTGATTTAATAAAGTTATTGTTACATTTATGATGTTACTTGTTTTTGTTATATTTTAAATTTGGCAATGGTGTAGTGTACATTGTGAACAAATTTATATTGCATAATGCATAAACGTGTAGTCTAAAAATTGCATAGCAATCTGCGCTTTAATTTTTTTTTTTTTAAATCGAGAATCGAATCGAATCGTGACCTTGGAATCGAAAACTTAATCGAATCGAGGATTTGGAGAATCGTGACACCCCTAGATTTCAGCCATTGTTTCAGCTTTGTACAGAAAACCGTAAGTTCTGGTTGCAACTTTAGATTCACCGGCATGGTGTTCCATAGATGTCCACCTTTCACTGAAAAGGATGATTGACCCATTGCAGTTCTGCATCTCCGTACTCTACAATTCCCACTTACTACCCCTCTAGTCTTTACCCCATCACTGTCTGTCTGTCTATCTATCTATCTATCTATCTATCTATCTATCTATCTATCTATCTATCTATCTATCTATCTATCTATCTATCTATCTATCTATCTATCTATCTATGTCTCTGTCTGTCTGTCTGTCTATCTATCTATCTATCTATCTATCTATCTATCTATCTGTCTATCTGTCTATCTGTCTATCTATCTATCTGTCTATCTATCTATCTATCTATCTATCTATCTATCTATCTATCTATCTGTCTGTCTGTCTGTCTGTCTGTCTGTCTGTCTGTCTGTCTGTCTGTCTGTCTATCTATCTATCTATCTATCTATCTATCTATCTGTCTGTCTGTCTGTCTGTCTGTCTGTCTGTCTGTCTGTCTGTCTGTCTGTCTGTCTGTCTGTCTGTCTGTCTGTCTGTCTGTCTGTCTGTCTGTCTGTCTGTCTGTCTGTCTGTCTGTCTATCTATCTATCTATCTATCTATCTGTCTATCTGTCTGTCTGTCTATCTATCTATCTATCTATCTGTCTATCTGTCTGTCTATCTATCTATCTATCTATCTATCTATCTATCTATCTATCTATCTATCTGTCTATCTGTCTGTCTGTCTGTCTGTCTGTCTATCTATCATTTGTTGTTGATTTCTCATATTTTGGTCTAATTCTCACACAAACCAGTTGTTTGACAGTAGATTTGTACTGACATTCTTCTGGATGTTTTCCAGCTTGTAAGAGTTGTCTGCTGTGTGTGTTCAGGTGCTGAAGGGTTTCCCGGAGTGTCTACAGGCCGACATCTGCCTCCACCTGAACCGGACGCTCCTGCAGAACTGTAAAGCGTTCAAGGGCTCCAGTAAAGGGTGTCTGCGGGCGCTGGCCATGAAGTTTAAGACCACACACGCTCCTCCGGGAGACACACTGGTGCACGCCGGGGACGTCCTGACCGCGCTGTACTTCATCTCTCGCGGGTCCATCGAGATCTTACGTGGAGATGTGGTCGTGGCCATCTTAGGTGAAAATACAGCATTACACAGTAAAAATAACTTAAACAGACAATCAGCGTATACTGTACATTCCCCCTGTTTAGAAGTCAACATGATCTCAAAATGGACCATATGCTTAAGTCAAGTCTCCTTCATTTATACAGCGCTTTTAACAATATAGAGTTTCACAGCAGCTTTACAGTGATAACAGGAGATTACAGTAACAGAGAGTGTTTAGGCTTTACAGCAGCTCTAGAATAAAGTTATTGTCCAGATAAGGTTAGTTTTGATTGATTCACTTCCGTTGCAAAGATCATTAGTTATTAACTTAGCGGCCGCTAACACGACACCGCTCTAACAGAAAACCTTAACGCGCTCCGGCTGCTCATCCGCACATCAACAGTGTTTGGAGCTCGAGAACGCAAGCCTTGAAAATTTGTGAGAAAAAAAAGAAGGAGGAACTAGAGTATGTTTTCCATTTAAGCCATGCTAGATGTATATCCTGTTCGCTAGAGTTCTTACTA